AAGGGCAGACAGTGGCAGTATTCTCTGGGGTCCGGAGCCATATGAAAGCAGGGGCTCCAGCCAGACCACACTATGATCAACTGGCGAGCTCACTGTCCATGTGGAGCTCCAGCAGGAGCCCTCCCTGACTGGGTAGTGAGCTCGGCACTCATTGGACATATACAGCACAGCTCTTGTACCCCATTCCTGGATCCACTACTGGGACAAAGATTTAAATCGTCAAATCACATTGTTAGTTGCTGCTAATTTCAAGTAGCGTGAGTGTGGATTGTTTTAGTTGTCACCCCTAAGACCTTCCTAAATAGCACAATGACAAAAAGTCTAGAATCTCTTTAATCAAAAGATCTTTTTTTCTACATAACTTTTGCTAGTCCATTTAAAAAATATATATTACCTGATTTTTTTTTTCAAAGAAAGCCCTACTGGGAAATTCTCTGAAGGTTTTAGTCAACATCTGTCTCATGTGTGCACTCATGCGTACACACACACACACACACACACACACACACACACACACACACACACTGCTAATGTCATATTTGAATTTAGAAGCTGGAGGAAACAATATTCATAATTCTCAAAACCTTCATTAAACTAATGGTTGTATTGGCACTTGGGTATGAACATCTTATTATTCATTAGAAGTCACGTGATACTTTCTATACTCATATGATATTAATTTTTAATAAAAGTCAGTTACACACAAAATGAATGTGTGCCCAGGTATTTCAGTAACCTGGCTTTTGAAGTTCCAAGAACTTGGGCGGGGGGCGGAGAAAGATGGGACAGGAAATGCTTTATTTGCCTCTTGACATGGTATTCATTACTAAATAGAACAGGGTTTTACTACTTTTTGTTCTTCCCTGGTCTTGAGATCCTGTTACTTGCCCTGTCCTTATTTCCCTTGTCATCATATCTTGTAAATATTTCTTTATTAGGTCTGACTTGTGAGTGACAACTCAAATTTCATTTGTTACCTATATCGCCTTTTGTTGTAGTTCACAAGACACAAAATTGCTTGCTTATTTTAATACTGTTAGACTTTAAGGAGTTTATTACAAATGCTTCTTCTAATAAAGCCTGGCTTTTTAGCCTTTACTGATCATTATCTGTTATCACTTAAGGTATCATTTCTTTTGGCTGCTGCCAAAGCTTTTAAAGACAGGAGTGAGTGAATTTTAGGCTATTTTAAATGTCACACTATTTACTCTGTTCTACAAAGATAAAGTTGTCTTTAGGATTGTCACTTCTCACCTAAAGTTGTTCAGGGATTTCACCTTGGTCAGTCTATTGTTTCTGTTATAGTGCTTAGGAAGTTCTTATTCCTTAGAATAGGAGAAGCCATTTTCCTTTTATTAATTGGGAGAAAACATTGTTAATTAACATTCGGATGATACTTTTCATGTCAGAAATCTTTGTGTTGGTTTATTAGCTAATTTTAAAAAGTCACTCTTTTTCCAGCAAAAGATACACCAATCAAATTATTTGTGTATTGGTATATGTATTTTCTGACCATTTAAACAGCTTTAAATTAAGGTGCATACTGATAGCAGTATAATTGTCTTTGTTCATATAATGTGCCAAGAACAAAATGTGCAGGTCAGAAATGCAGAATCAGATGCATGTCTTTCTGGGCTTTAGTAGATGTTATTTTTGCCTCTCTTTATCCATTGCTTTAGCAGGACAAAGTGCCTGCAGCCACATGTTTGGGTTTTTTGTCCTGCTAAAGAAAATGGTCAATCTGACTCAAAAATTGTGGATCCAGGCAGAAAAAATAACAATAAAACAACTTTTGTCCTGGGAAGGTTTTCCAGGACAAATTCATTATGTGGATGGGTATTTCTGTCCACCAGAATCTGACAGTCCTCTCCTGAATACCACACCTGCCACTGTTCCAGGATATTTTCCATTTTTGCTTTTGCTTCCTGCCACATGAACTTTGGGGGGTCATGAGCTCTTTTTCCAAAATGTTCATAGTTAAACAAATGATGCATTCTGGTTATATACACAAATAAACTGCTTTACACTAGGAGAGGGTCTGACTTATGCTATGCAGTGTATGTTCACAAAGTTTAAAATTTTATTTTTTTTCCTCAGAAGATTGACAGCTATATGCTTTTTCTGACAGAGCCTCACGCAGGTTTTAGAATAGCTTTCAACATGTTTGATACTGATGGCAATGAGATGGTGGACAAAAAGGAATTCTTAGTGGTATGTATATTATATAATGCCCTTTCATCACTTTCAGAGTATTTTGATATAATCTTGCTGTCCACTTTATTGTCAGAATATTACATACATATGAGAGTGTATAAATTCGTAAATATTATCTATTTGTTATGAAGCATAGGGGTACTGTGCACTATACTTTTGAAGTTGCATTTCAATTTCTATTATTTCTTTAATCTGCTAATACACTTCTCAAAAGTCCTTTTGAGCTAATATTATCACAACTTCAGTCAGTAAACTTACTTGCACTAGTCACACTAAGAGACTTAATGGAAGGATATTGGGTAGGTTGCTGACATTACCATGGATTGTAGGCTTGTTGTTGGAGCCCATAAGTTTTGGGAGAGTTTTGCTTTCTTCATCATCTTTAAGGCATGAAGGTGATTCTGATAGGCTTCGTGGCTGAATCTTGGTAAATGTCTGTTGTATTTGGGTGGTTTGGGATTCTGTTTTTCAGTTCTGGAAATCTGGTGCTGATCTGTTCCTATTTGGTGTGTAGAACACTGATCAGAATGGGTGAGTCAAGCACAGCCCTTCAGAATAGGCTGTGTGATATGTAGAACAGAGTGAATTAGTCACCTGAAGTCCCTTGGGTATGATATACATTTGCTTGCATATAACTGGAAAGAAGATATCTGAGTGTACCTGAGTACATTTCTTCTGTAGCTTGATTGCAGTTCATTTCATTCAGCTGGGTGCACATATTTGTTTAAGTCACATTGATATCAAATAAAGACATGGCTAAACACAACTTGAAGTTGTGGCAAGCTTGATTGGAGTCTAACTAATTTGTTTGTGCTTTTAGTTAATTGAGATTATGTTGGTAATATTGTTCTGTTGTTGTTTGAGCCAAAAATAAAACTTATTTTTTCATAACTGCAGCTTCTTCAGTAGCTGTTGTACGTATCAGAAAAAAGGCTGCTGATGGTTATAGAAGACATTCAATATAACAACTGCCACTTACAAGCATTGTAATACTCACACCCCAACATGTTGCGACTGATGGGCACCAATATATTTTCAAGCTTATAGTTATCTTGAACTCTTTTAAAAAGAGAAACAAAGTGCTTAGGAACTGGGAAATAGAGTTGAGGATTTCTGCTCGTCTTTAGATCTGTCCCTTTGTGTTTTGCTTTATGCAATTTGATATCGTGAGGCAAGCAATGATATGGATTAAAATAATACAAAGTAGAGTTTTAAATAATGACTGTGAAGGGCAATTCATTGCGTGCATTGCTTTATAAGTGCTTTATACTGGAATCCCAGCTGTACTGAATACATATGATTTGGATATTTTTTTCAAACAAAAGTGAAAAAAAAAAAAAAAAAAAAAAGGTTTGTGTGTACTTTAGAAATTAGGGATCCTTACAGATTTGAGGAGGACTCTATCAAGCCTCCAGTACTGTATTAAACATTGGTTCTCAATTCAAGGTTTTTAGACTTCAGGCACCCCTCGTTATTATCAGGGTACACCTCATTAGATTCAAGTTACCCGTCAGTGTGACGGGACCCACCTTAGAGGGTGGTACCCTCTGGCAGCCATACTAGTCCTGCCCAATCTCACTAGAGTACCACCCAGTTTTACCAGAATAACACCTGCCATTCCCTGTTGGAATATTAATAATAAAAGAGGCTGTCCTCAGAGACTGAGAGTCCTTAGGTACCTGATTACACACTGATCATCATGCAGCAGCCTCAGTTGGGCCTGATCTTCTAAACTCTTTACACTGAACCAGGTGTCTCTCCCTCAAACTGACCTCAGCTAATGGCATGTGTGTGTCTCTTCTACATACCCCCAGGCCTCTGGTCCTTGCAGCACCGGATCCCCAGTCCTATCTCATGCCACCGGACCCCTAAGTCCACAGCTCTGGATGCAGGGTGCCTTCCCTGACATCCACCACGGCCAGTCTCCACCAGTATTTTGTGGGCTCTCTCTCACGAACCCCTGTCCGATTGATCTGGCTAATTAACTAGAACACTCTGTGTCCCACCAGCATCCACCGTGGCTTTACAGGAATACCAGTCCCTGCAAATTGCATCTGTCCTCAGTACCCTTTGGCCTCCTGCCTCCCTTTAGTCACTCCCAAGCCTAGCAGATGTAAAACTGTAAGCGTAAATACTTCAATTAAACAACTAACCTATCTGTGAACCCTCTCCACAAAGAGGACCCTTCCTATTCCTACCAATTGATTCCCACGATCTCCCTGGAGTACCTGGTCTCTCTGTGTATTCTCAGCTCATCCTTCTCTCCAAGGACCTTTTTCCCACCACTGTAAGGACCAGAGGAGCTCTCTGGCCCTGGAGCCAAGCCTATATACTTACTAACTCCACTCCCTTCCTGTCACCTGATCCCTGTTTCCCAGGGCCAGGTACAGGGATTTCCCATTAACCAATCTGCAGGTTTGCCCCTCCTCAGCCTGCCTCCCTGTGAGCAGACTTAAAGTTTGGTGTCCAGCTTCCCGCAATCAAGCACCCTTTATACTGCCTTGCAGCCACCCCAGCTTCTTTGTATGCTGCCATCTACAGTGTCTGGCAGCTAATTAGTTCTGCTGCTTGGCTGTATAGTCTGTGGCTGAGGTTACTCAGTTACCTAATTATCAGTTGTCTGTTCAGTTCTGCTGCCACGGCTCTTTAATCCATGGCCTGGATCCCAGCCCTCTTAGCCTGTCTTCTTTTCCATCTTACTCCAGGTAAGTGGCCTGTGGCTTTGGGGCTGTTCCTTTTCCCTTTCAGCTGCCTTTTGCTCACTGTGCTGGCCCTCTTTCAGCTCTCTTTTTCTTCCTCAAAGGGGATTAGAGGCTCCATGTTACACTTAAAAAAGGCCAGCTCTTTTCACTCATTTTAGACTATGGAAAATAATACAGTAATTCTTCTCTTGCGAAGAACTCAGAAAGATCAGAACAAGTCAGAATGTTCTTAATAACATGGAATCCTATTTGAAATCTCTGGGTACGTCCATATGAACACACACGTGCCTCTTGTGGCATCCTAAACCAGTATGAGATGCTGCAAGAGGCACGCTGGGAACAAAAAAATGTTCCCTGTGCTGCATATTCGCAGCATGGGGTCAAAATTTGATACCTGGAGATCCAGGTGTTAAAAAAATACCCTGGGGGGAAAAAAGTGGGGCAACCAGAGGCTCAGGTCCTCCACAGAGACACTCTGGTATTCAGACAGAGCATCTCTGTGGCTTGCCCTTGCCCCAGTGCTGAAGCACGCTGCTTGCCCGTGTAGGGCAAGCAGTTGGGCAGGCTGCAGGGAATTGGACCCAGGCTCTGTGCCAGGTAAGTAGAGGGTGGGGGGGAAGCTGGAGGAGTGGGGAGAGGGACTATGGAGGGGTGCTTGGGAGGGGTGGGTCCTCCACCCAGCCCTCCCTCATGGCCTGCACTCACCAGCAGCAGCAGCGGCCATTGAGGCCGCTCGGGGAACAGCCCCCCATGCAGCAGGGCTCAGCCCCAGCCACCTGGCAACCACACTGCTCCTGCCACATCGTATGGGTACGGCCTGGCTCAGCAGGGCGCCGGCTGTGCTGGGCATTTTTGGGCAGCTCAGGGCAACTAGGGATGTCACCCAGGGCCAGTGCCACTCAGCCCGAGCAGCCCCGAGCTGTCTGACAGTGCATGGTGCCACGGGGCACCCTGCCAAGCTGAGCCACACCCATGTGATGCAGCAGAAGCAGCAGCGTGGGTCCCAGGCAGCCAGAGCCGAGCCCTGCTGCCCCATACTGCACAGGGGGCCTGTGCCTCGAGGCCCCAAGTAGCCCCAGTGGGGCTTTGGGATTTTTCTGTCTGGGATTTTGCAGTTTTTAAATAGGGAATACTAGAATTCCTGCTAGTGAGCCAAGTGGCAGGACCCAGAGAGATGAGCCTACTCAGCTGGCACCCAGGACCCAGCTAGAGGTGGCTGATCTCCTGGCGACTTGGCAGTTCAAAGCAGGCCACCACACAAAACATCTTCCAGGCAATAGCTGCCCAGATGGCTGGGTGGTGGCCCACATGGCAGTAGTGCTGCACAAAAGGCCAACTGTAGCCACAGCCCACTGGCAGCTGGCCGAGATGCAGATGCCTCTACTGGCCATGCAGTCCCCAGCCAGGTCTGGCAGGCATGCAGCCTTGGGGCCACATGCTGTCGCAGGTCACAGGCAGCAGCCCCTACTACCAGACTGGTGCAGTGTGTAGAAGGTCCAGGTAACTCTCAGGGCTGCTTCAGCAGTCCATCTGGGACAAGGGGTGGTGTCCCAGATGGCAGTTGACCACCAGAAGCTCCTGAGAGCATGTAGCCCTGAGCTACTTGCCAGGGCAGGTTTTTACACTGCTGGGGCCAGCACAGGGCAGGTTTTTATACTGCTAGGGCCAGCACAGGTACTACCCCTGGACTCATGTTTGCACACTTAAGGGTACTAATATTGTGTCACCCTTCAGTACCCTTTAAAGGATCCCTAGACACCTGAGGGTGCACCATCACCCTCATTGGGAATCGCTGTTCTAGAGAAAAGAACAGATCATGCAGGTGAGTGACAAATTTAAGTGGTGAAATACAACTTGTATTTAACCAAACCAAAAGTAGTAAGTTACTACTTACTACTTACTACTGAGAAGATCCTTCTCAGTTCACTCCTTGTCTTTCCCACTTGTGCTGCTTAAGAACAGAGTTCCCGAGTGAAATCACAAGTATGTATCATTTACCTTTGGGAGCTGGCTTTTTCAGCCTTTATCCTCCTGAACATCAAGTGCAAGTTGCAACATGGTCTCACTTTTACCTTCCTTTTAAGTCCTTTTCCTCTTTAATCCAAGTGCACCTTCCTGAGTCTGCAAGAACAGCAAAACAAAACCCCAGACCATGCACCAGTTTGGCCCAATGAGGAAGGTTTCTTCCTGATACCCAAAAACAGATTCAGTCACACTCAGAGCAATAAAAATGACACAATCTTGATATAGATATATCTATCTGTCTTGATATACCTTGTGGGGGGAGGGTAGGAG